CCAGATCTTTTGAAGGATCTTTCGGGTTGTCTGATTTGTCCGCTTCTTGAGATTCCTTGTGCAGGATTCTTTCGTGTGAATTTCGGACGATATTGCCTCTGGTTACCATTCGTCTTTTTGTTGGATTGAGTGTTCCAGTTAGGCTGACCCTTTTTATGGCGTGGACTCTGTTTATTGCCATTTGGTCCATTCCTTTTGACATAGATTTGTCTAGGGTTGCCATTACTAGATTTCTTCTTTCCAGATTCCACAATTCGTTGTACAGCCGTACCTTTCGGTTGGCTTGTTGATTGTGGTGTTTTGACAATGTTAACTACCATCATAGGCTCAGACACCTGGGTGGGTCCTTGAACAAATGCGGCCTCGAAGCTTTCGTGTGAATATGCATTCGTGGATTTGTTCAATTCGACTTGTGAAGAGGAGCTGGGGTTAAAACCAATTCCAGTTCTTTCCCCGAGCAGTCTGGATTCATTCAACATTCTATCCATTAGGTTGGATGAATTATTGAATTTATCCAAAACTTCAAGCAGTTCTTGCTCTCTCTTCTCTTTTGTTGTGCACAGCTCCTTTAGAGCAAGAACATCTTTCTCAAGCTGCTCCTTAGCAATGATTAGCATATTGTTCTCAATACGAACTTGCTTTAGTTCATTATGGCTAAGCCTAAGCCGAGAGTTCTCCTCCTTGAGTTTGGAGTAAGTGATATTTATCACATTGAACCTCATCATCATTTTGGTGACAGATTCATTTGAGGTAAAACTTCTCACAGAACTTGACTCAGCTGAATAACAAGAGGATGAATGACAATTTACCTCGTCTTCATCTGCCATGAGACATAGTTCGTCTGACTCTTGACTGAATAGGCACAACAGTCCTTTCTCCTCATCAGTGCTTTCGTCATCTGAGCTAGAGCTTGAGGAGCTACTTTCGGTTGCGACTGTGTCAGAAGTTTCGTTTACTAGCATTGCCTTCCTTCTTCCTTCCTTTCTGGAGTTTGATGATTCAGGTTTGTCGCTTCTTTTATATCTTTCTCCAGTCTCTTTTGAGGGGCTTGTGGTAGTATTGTTATCTTGATGTTTGCTTACTATGGGATGTGGACAGTTTGCCTTGAAGTGTCCTGGCTTTCGGCAATTATAGCATAATAGCTGAGAATCCATGGTTTCAGATTTTGAGGTTTGAGGAAAGTTCTCTTGCTTCTTTCGGTGGCCCGAACGTTGTGGATCTTGAAAGTTGTTCTTTCTCATGAATCTTTTCATTTTCCTGACAAATAGTGCATATTGTTCATCAGATAAAAATTCACAAGAGTTAGATTTCGACCTGTTGGATGTTGATGCTGATTGATTTGCCATGAGAGCAATATTTCTTGTTTCTGAATCTTCGGCATCTTTTGGTTCATGTTCGAACTGATAAGCCTTGAGATCACTGAAAATTTTGGCAGTGCTTGTCGTTTTCATGTCTCGACTATCCCTCATTGCAATAACCTTCATTTCCCATGATTTAGGTAGACCACGAAGGATCTTCAGATTCATTTCCTTCTCAGTAAGTTCTTTTCCAAGATCTGATAAATCGCCCATCAGTCTGGTGAATCTGAGTTCCATATCCAAGATTGATTCATTTGGCAGCATTTTGAAATCTTCGAATTTTTTCATAGCCATTGTCAGCTTGTTTTCCTTTTCTTGCTCGTCTCCTTCTCCTAATCTCATTAGGACATTCCACACTTCCATAGCATTCTTGCATTTTCGGACTCTTGGAAACAGGGAATCATCCAGAGAGTTGTAGAGAATGTTTCTTGCTACATTGTCCAGATTCGCTCTTGCTCTATCTTCTGAGGAGTACTGGTCTTTTGGTTTTGTTATCATCTGTGGAGCTCCTGCACCCTGTGCGGCTGCTTGAGTATTCACCATCATGATTGTGATTGGTCCGGTTGTTATGACGTCCCACATCTCATCATGAATGGAGCATAGGAGAGCCTGCATTCTTAACTTCCAGTCATCAAATTTAGCAAGACTAAATGCAAGTTGTTTGGAGCGATGAGCATGTTCCTTTTCCATTTTTTTTAAAAAAAAAAAACGTGCAAAGAAAATATGCAAGATTTTCAAGAGATTTTCGAATAGGGATCTACCAGGCAGTAAATGCAAAGCCTTTACCGAACAAGGTATTGGCTCTGATACCACTTGTTGGTCCCGATAGAATGAGATGAGAGTCTAGAGGGGGGGGGGGGTGAATAGACTCTTTTCGTTAGAAGCCCTAAACGTCACCTTTCGGTGTCTTGGCGCAGCGGATAAGATAGATTCGTTTTAAAATACTTTGCACGAGTTTACGTAATTAGACAAACTTTCGGTAATGATAATGAAGAAATGATATGAGAGCAAAATAAAAAGCGTAAGTAAGGAGATAAGGAGGACACGAGATTTTATAGTGGTTCGGCCAATGTTGCCTACTCCACTCTTCTTCCACAACTGTTGGAAGGATTGCACTATCACTCTTAGTACAATTACACAAAGACTTCCTTGATCACTAAGCCGGACAGCCTTCGTAGGTTTTTCAACTCCTCGAGTTTACTCCGCCTCTATCAACTTCTTCTCCTGAGTTGAGGTTGGTAGAAAATGATTTCTTGAATTCTCCAACAAAGAGATCTTGACTCTGAGATATGATAGCTTCAAACTGATGTCAAGACTTCCTTGAGGTGTAAGACAAGTGATTCTCCAAGTAACTTAACACCTCAAAAAACTGGTTCACAAAAGCTTTTTGTAAATCGTAGACGTTTCAAGAGCTTTTGTAAGTGAGTAAGTCGAGTGATAATGAACCAGCACCTTCTTAGTTGATGAAGGTGAGTTTATATAGGTGATGAAAATCCATCCGTTGGAGGGAGATGAAATTTTCGAACCTTTTAACCATTGGACAAGGACCGGGGAGCTTCATGCATTAAATGCTTCATTAATGAGGTTGTACCATGTAGCCGTTGAAGGTATGGAAAGCATTAGGGTTTTGTCCTTTAGCTCCAAGAGATAGTACATCTTCATTTAATGCTTCTTGAAAAGTGAGTCCCATAAAATGAAGTCTTTATTGTCCTAGGATGTTGTCAAATCAGACAGGTGAAACATTCTTCTCGTTGTTGAAGAGAAGTAATGTTTAATGAAGATCGTCTTTTACAAACACTGTCCTTTCGTGTTTGTTGACAACTCCTGCTTGACTCTCGTTGTTGTTCTTCATGTCTCGTGTCTTCTTTCGCCTTGGAGATCCTAACATCTAGTCATAACTCATTTTCGTGTGTTTGTCTAGCTTAACACGAATTACAAAAGAGTTATGGCAACTCTCGTCTAGGACGAAAGTAGCGAAACAAAAACAGCTAATGGTTAGGGGTCTACTTTTCTACATTACATTGGTATCATCAAAATCCTAATACAATGTTCCGAACATTAACCCAACGAGAAGAAAGAAGAAGAAGCAGAGGAAGCCCGAGTCGTGTGTACACACACTCTCCTTAAAACCGATTCGCCACCTCCCGAGGGTGCTAGGATCGTTGTGGCGTCAGTCTCCCAGGATAAAACGGACTACGGCTTTGGCGTTCGAGCACTCCAACCCAAAGCCCGGCGAACTAGAACACAAGTTGAGCACTCCGATGTTTTACGGAAGTGTTGGTAGAATCTCTTTGTAAGAAACAACTTTTGAGAGAAGATGAGAGAAAAATATGATTTTTCAAGTTCAAAAATTAGACTTTAAATTCTACCCAACACATAGGTTTTTATAGGGGAGAGAGGAGTTAGTAGCCCACTAAATGGCACATTAAACCAACATAAATCCACGATTTAATTATTGGATAAAAACGTTTGAAACAGTCGTAATTATTATCGTAATAATTCCAACGGTCACGAACTTAATACGCGATTAATTCGTACCGACCACAACGACCCGTTTCAAAATATCTGAGTGACCGAGAAGTCCGTACAAACCCGAAGGTTTAACGAATTGGGATTGGAAACCACACCCGAGTGGTCCACACGCACCGAAACGGTGCAGCACGAATCAATGCATATAGCATTGACTCGTGCTCAGCACGAAAGTAGCTCACGAAAGGAGAGCACGAAAGGAGCTCACAACTCCAACTTTCAGCATGAAACTAAAGCTTATAATTAAGCTTTCAATTTTGCATGCACTTTCGTCCAGCATGAAAGCATAGCACGAAAGGTGCTAAAAATCCCAATTCACTAATTAAGCAACCAAAGCTTAATTTCACTTAAGCTCTACAACTTTGGTGCAGTGCAACGAAAGTTATTAAAATGCTTATTTCTAATTAGCATTTAAACTTAAGTTTTTGACTTCTCTCCAATAGGTCCACTTTGAGAATCAATTTCTCATTCACCTATCACTCATTTTGAGCGTACATTATATCAAATTCTTCGTCTCACTACGAAGAACCCGAATCCACTTTGACCCGACCCAAATCGGAAGTGGATCCCACATATATTTGTACCACAAAATAATCACTCAAAATGCCATTTTTAGCTAAAAATTCCAACAAGTTAGCCCACATATATTTGTACCACAAAATAATCACTCAAAATGCCATTTTTAACTAAAAATTCCAACAAGAATGTTGTGATTCTTTATGAGAGAGAGCCTTTGCAATCAAATCCCAACTATAATAACTGTTATAAGCAAATCGTAGTAGATTGGAGCGAGGGACGAAAGTATAAACGAACAAATATTTTAATTTGCTCGAACTGTTGTCATTATTCGGTTCATAGTTCTGATTCGGAAGCTGTATGTTGGAGTATTGTACTTTGCTGATGCCACGAAGATACAAAGCTGTACAACCTGGTTTAGAAACGTCTTCCCAATATTTATATATAGCATTTATATATAGTAGTTTGACGACCTTGACCTTCCTAATAAAAGAATTCATATTTAAGTATATCCATTATGGCTGATCTAAAAAGAAAAATAAAGCACAATGTATAGATATTGAAATTATTCAGATTAATAATTTAAGAATAAGTTGACGTTTAGTTTAAAAAAAATCAAAAAAAAAATGAAAATTACTCAAAACATTCCCAATATTTATTTATAGCATTTATAATAATTAAAAAACAGGAAATTATCAAGGAGACAAGGATCTCCCACATCTGCGGCAATGGCGTCAACAACCTGGTTTAGAACCGTCTTCTTAACGAAGCCATGGCGACCCCTTCCTCGAAACCGAGCGTCCCCCTCCGTTTCATTCTTCTCTGCCCGCAATCCCCAAATTCTGCATTTGGGGTCCACTTCCGCTTTGGGGTCCAATCCCCAAACCGAGTGAATTCAGGTTCTTCCAAGAAATAATAAATCCTGTTTCATACGGACAATCCACAAAAGTATGACAACATGAGAAAGTGACAAGTTTATGCATATTGTGATTACACTGAGGGCATGACTGGGTGTTTGGGATTTTCTCCAAATTAGAAGGATAATTGAGAAAACAATAAGGGTGTTGATACGAAGTAGGAGAGGAAGAACTAAGCATCATCTCATAGCAATCCTTAAATGCTCGATCAAAACCATTGATTTGTGCATTGTCTTTCCACTTCTCGTACTCATTCATGACTCCGAGCATTTTATCTCCCATATCGCATGCAATTATTCCTTTCTCTTTGCTTAATAAAGCCCATACTCCAACTGTTGAACCTTCAGCTTCGTAAACTAACAATTTTTTGACGCCTTGCATAATTTCATCACTCCCTTCGTCAAGCCCCATTTTAAGTAAATATTGAATCCTAGACGAGGCCATGCTTTGAAGTCGTGTCCAAAATTCCTTAATCCTTTGCTCAGAAGTGACTGTAGAATCACACATCCTTATCACATCCTCATCAAAGAATGTTTTTCCACTTCTTCCAATGTATACAATTCTCCAATTCATTTGGATTTTGGAACAAATTTCCTGTATCTTTAGTATAAGTTCTTGAACTTGTTTATTGTTATTGCCTCCACATAAGAAAATGTACTCTTCATCATCAATCTGTTCAAAGAAAATAGGGGAGTAACAATGTTTAATACAAAGTTCATTTAAAGAATAAAATATCAAATACAGAGTAACAATCTTTACTTAGCTTAGGCAACTAATTAGTTAGAAGCTGAACATGGACTTACCCACTTATCAATTTCGGATCTGTACAAGATGTCAGATACTACAAGTTTAAGGCTCCATGATTCTTTATCACTTAGAGTTTGTTCCACCTCACTTGTGTAATTGTAAGAACGAAACTGATGAATAAAAATATTCTATTAATATAAAATGATATCATTCTAAAAGTATTAAAGTTTTTAGTGATTTTTTTTTAAATAAATAATAGTACATAAGTATATATAATAAGATACTACGTATTATAAGATAGACATACCGAACTTCTCATCTTGTCCTTAATATCATTCACCCAATTGTTGATGTTCTTGCGGACCTGGCTAGCAAAGTCGTGTATTTGTTTGTCAATATCACCAATCACACGGTCAGCACCCAAAGTCCTTTCCCTCAACTCATTTTCTAACGAAGGGAGTAAATCATGGTTCATTGTTGTCTCTTCATATAGTTGATATCTCCATGTCAGTATCATGTGCAACGCATTATAATGAACCAACCTTCCTCGTTTGTCCAGTGAAATGACAATAGGATCACCCCCGACTTGAAAAATTGGGAAACATTTATCTTCAAGAAATCTTCTGAATACTTGTGCAACCGGTTTGTGACGAATCATTACACTCCCTAAAAGATGGACATAATTATGAATAATTTGTAGGCCCATCTTCTCAACCTTTGTAATAGGAACCCAAATCATCTGTACTCCTCTAGGCGCATCATATACATAAAAGGGGAAGTGTCTGCCAGATGATATTAGTAATAACACTTCCTTCCCTCGAAACAGATCTAATCGACATGGGGAAATTTCCTTTTGTAATAATCCACGATCAAGTTTCTAATATACAAGATAAATGTTTGGAGGTTATCAGATTAATTGTAGTATTTTACATATACATGCATGATAAGAAAAGTAAGAACAAAGGCTAGCTTAACATACCAGCAACCAGTTGAGATGAAGAATTACTTCGTCTTCATCATTTTTTACATCAAATATTAATTTAAGAACCTCCAAAATATCCGAAGAATTATCAAAAGCATGTAGCAATGCTTGATAATTTTCTTCTGCCCTTTTTGCCTCTGCATATATACACAAAAACATAATTAATCTCGTTGCTATTCTTCCATCAGTATACTGAACTTTAGTTTTTGGTAAAAGGGGTGTTTGGTAACACAGCTGAAAGCCAATTTTGACTGGTTTGATTGGTCAATAAGCTATTTTAATTTTTGGTTGGAAGTCAAATTTGTCCAAACACCTTGTGCTCAGATGGCACCTCTATGGCTCCCCTTGAGGAAGGTCACAGAATCGAACCCCTATGCTGGGGTATTGACTCTTTGGACAGTAGTAGTTAGAGAAAGTATATTGTCAAAATATGAAAAATTAAAAAGAGTAAAGTTGCTTATGCATTGGCTAGGGCGGCTCGTTCTCAATCTGGTCCCATTATTTGGACTTCTTCTATTCCGAGTTGTATCGAACATTTGATTTAATGCAATTATATTCTTGGTTTTCAAAAAAGAAAAAAAAAGGAGTAAAGTTTTCTATTAACTGATTGACCTTAATTGTGAAATGACTAGCATTTATATCTCCCTTGTTGTTTATATGTCTTGCCCCTTTTCTTTTTGTTTCGTTAACAACAATAATAATGTTTTTCTTTCTTTTTTATTTCACATATCCTTGTTAATAATAATAATAATAATAATAATAATAATAATAATAATAATAATAATAATAAAAAATAAATAAAATTATAAAAGTAATTTAAGAGTTAATAATATAGCAAAATATGTTTATGCCTTTATAAGTCATTTTACATTTGCCAAGATCTTGTGGTCTAATTGCACCTAGGTTGGACTCATATATAGGAGGTTGTGAGTTCTAGCTCACTGGATGTGTTATTGACTTTTTGTGCTTCAGTAGGTTGAGAAAATAGTTATGAACAGATACTACATTGTAATAGAGTCAGTAACATTAAAAAGAAAAAGTCATTTTAAATTCAATTAGCTAAAAATAAACTAATTTACCAAACACTTCTTTACAACCAACTAATACTATCAACCAACTAATCCAATCATCTATCATTCATTTGCCAAACACCCCTAAATCTATTTAACTAAATTGCTATGATTTTTTTTTTTTGAAAGGAGCCGTCATGGAATTTATTCAATATACTGCGAAATAGTGTGTGGCGGGACAGAGTCCCAATACATAATAGCAGGCTGACTAGAAGTAGACGAAGCTAAAATATGAGCTAAATAGTTCTCTGATCTAGGAATGTAAACAACTGAACAATAATTAAAAGAAACGATATGTGCCCTGCAGGCATCTATGGCATAGCCAATATACAACCGAAGTGAGGTCGCTGGTTGTGAGAGGTATTGTTTTAGAGTCAAAAATTCTTGTGATTTTATAATTAATAATTTATACTAATTTTTTTTTCCAATTTTTTTATTTAAAAATTTGGATTATTTATTTGCATAATAAAGTTTAACTTTTTAAGTCAATCTATAAAAACTTCGAATACACTATAAATTGTACTTCGTATATTTTTTTGAGTGTAACATAGACTATTCACCGTCAACCATAGTGACTAACTCTTCATTAAATTATACGCACTTCAAGTTTAGCATTATAAATTGTATATTATATACATTAATTATAATCACAAAAATTTCCTAACTATATATAGATCAAATCATCAAAATATTGAACGAACCTAGTAGTGAGTGGCTAGAAGCCATTATCTCTTTGATTTTGGTGGATAACTTGGACTGCTCAGCCAGTTGAATTTGGGACCTGAAAATGAAGAAAAATATAATCGTAATTAATTAAAACAAATAAATATCAATTAACCGATTTTGGCTGCAGATTCTTAGTTAACCCAATTTACATGTGTTGTTGTGCAATGTAAATTAATATATTTAAATATTTTATACTTTATATTATTTATTTGATATCAAGATATTTATATGAGATATTAACATACACTAATTACCTATAAAGATTAGGGTATAAATTAGATTTAAGGAAGAATTCTACAAACATAAATATAATTTACACAAAGTTAAATTAAATGGTCTTACTCGGGGTCCAAAATACAAAGTCTGGTACAAGCAACAACAAATCTTGCTATCCAATAGTTAGCCACAATCATAGGAGATGAATGTTTAAGCTCAACCATAAGCTTGACAAGATCTAAGGCAGACTTTATTGAGTTATCCTCTAAGTTTTTAGGGTTAGAGGAAGACATTTGCTTTGAAAGAGCCAAGTTGTATGTCAATCCTCTTCGCTGGCGTGATTGTGAGACAACTTTAAATTTTCCATAGATGATCGCAAATGAAGTGAGCATCATTACAGCCTTAGTGTGCCAAGGATACACTGATAGTGTACTTAGTAGACAAATTGCTATTGAGTGACTATCAACATTATTTAAACAACTACACGCTACCTGAAAAAGAAAAGAAAATTTTAAAATTAATAATTTGAACGCATATAACTATGTGAGAGCGTCGGCCGGGTTGGCCGAGTTCAGCCCCTGCTCGATTCGAGACGTGGCGATGTGGCTTACCATGGAGGGATGTGGTTAAATGTTTAATGTCCACCTACATATCACCAATTGATTTTAAGTAGGATATGGCAACCAGGTACCCTAGAACTTTGTGGTTAAGCGTGGTTGACTTCCGATAATCCCGGGATGGGGTGTCGGGATGGGTGACCCCCTCTGGGAAGCCAACAAGAAGGGATATTTTCAACATACCTTTAAGGAGAGTTGTAATACATGAGATGAAATCTCATTCTGGATGTACTCTTTTAGCATTAACTTGTCTTGCGTTGCTTCTTGAGGAATCTAAACTCATACTCCATTAAAACAATTTAGTACGATAAAAACTAGAATGAAACTATTTTTATGTAGAAAGTGAGTATATATTGACAAACCGTATCGGAGTTGAAAATGTCATCAACAAAATTGAGAATAGAACTTGTATCGACATCCATTATTTCACCTCTGGGATCATGTGTAGCCTTAACATGTTCCATGATAATCGCGTCCTCAGTATCAATGGCATGGTTTTGTGAAACCATTGTCGTTGATAGAGATAGAACTTGGTTTGACATGTGTAATAGATATGAAGAAGAGAATATTAATTCCTTGCTTGGATTGCTTTTGATTATAATAATCTTGAATTTTGTTTTCAAGGATTGTGTTCATTTAGGTCTTGTATATATAGTATATGAATTGATGATCTCTTGTAGAAGAGCTAACTTCAATACCTAGCTTCGAGATAAGGTAATCATCAAGAGAATCAAAATGAAAAACGTACTCTTCAAGTATCTTAATGCTTTAAAAAAGAAGAAAAGAAAAAGGTTTCTACGTACGTACGTAGATGATATGTGCTGCCAGGAATAACTATGGTATATTGCATAAAGATATATACTGATGATTATTGCCAATGACCTTGTGGTCTAATTAAGTCACTGCTGGAAATTATAGAATTTCCGACCACGTGGAAGTGATCTTAAATCAAGTCGAAAGCAAAAAGTGGTCGGAAATCGCAATAAAGGTTTTTCCGAATACCAAAAGTAGCCGGAACAAAGCTTTCGACTTGATTTAAGATCACTACAAAGTGACTCTCTCAAATGGAACGTTATGAATTTAATCTCCAGTGAACTGAGGTAATATTGACTCTTTATGTTTCAGTAGATTGAGAAAATAGATACGAACAGATTATTTCCAATGCATGCAAAGACTAATAATCTTCATGCATGCAATGACTAATAATCTTCATGTTTTCAATGCATGCAAAATAGAATAACAAGTACGAGAATGTCTTGCAAATCACTTATCTTACATGTGAACTGAAAATGTGTAGAAAAATTAATATATATATATATATATATATATATATATATATATATATATATATATATATATCCTAATACTTTGCTTCATGACAAGGCAATTAAAAGAATTAAATAAAGGAATTTCTTTTACTGTTAACTCTTTATAAACTATCTCCATCACACTTCTTCATGCATAGAATGTAGACAGATCAATGAAATATAAGAAAAAAAAAAAAACCAAAAAGTATACAAGCACATCACATATTCTTAATTATTGATAACTAATACACTATAAATAAAAAGTGCAACAATATATATAATGCAGATTATAGCTGATGTAGCTACTCATGATTACACTGTCAATATTCCAAGTGTTACACTTTCACTTTAGTATGCTAATAATTTAGCAGCCTCGCATAATTTCATCCCTACCTTCGTCAAGTCTAATCTTAATTAAATGTTAGATTGAGTCCTAGACAAGACCATGCTCTGATGATCTAAACTTAGCAACCAAAGTATTTTCTCTTAGCTCATTTTCTAAGGGAGAAATTAAAACACATCCCGTTGTTCTCTCTTTATTAGTTGAACGGATAAGATATAAAATTTTATTAAATTAAAGTCCAATAAGAACCATGATGCAAATTATATCGTGGACTGAGCTTACCTTGCATTATAGGTTCTGTCCAAAATATGACATCATTTTGTTTAAAGTAGCGAGCCTTTTTTTTTTTCTTTATGGTCAATATTAACCTCGATCTATAGTAATAAGTACAAAATCAATTAACTGTACGTACATAAATTTACATTTGTTAGTACATAATATCTTTAAAATAAATGTATTATGTCAAATAATACTAACCTTGTCTTGATAAGTTCACTAGTTTTGAATTGTAGGTAAATAAACTTAAAATTAAAAATTCAAATTTGATCCCTCAAGGAACAAATCAATCACTTTATTAAGTGGCAGATTTGGTTCTTACATGACCAACACTCACTACTTTCATAATAACTATGAACTTGTAGAACATCCAAACCTCCATGAAGAATCCAAGGTAATAGAGTCCAAAGTTTGAAAATTGAAAACCCAACCAAGTAGTTAGATTGTACTATATTGATTTAGTATAACCACGAGGTTGTAATAAGTTTGACAGTTGGTAGGAATGATATATTGATCTTCTTGATTTGAGTCTATCCGTTGTGGACAAGCTAGATTGATTTGCATCTATCTTTATAGTCATAAAGCGAGATTTATACTATGCACATCATCGGGTTCCCCCCATACCCGCATCCATTACCCAAATTATGCGGATATTTTAAAACCCGTAGGGGCGGGAATGCGAGGAACCCATTGGTGCGTGTAGAATTGTCATCCCTATCCATGATATATAATACTAACCAATTGTGTTATGCAATATAATGCTTTTAGGTGATTGTATGACAAAATTCATTCATTATAGGTGCATGTAGTGGTATCCAAATTATTTTTGTCCAATAAAAAAAAAATTAAAATACTTCAAAGTGTGGTTGTAAATAATGAGTATATTGACAAACCGTATCGAAGTTGTAAATGTCCTCTAAAAAATTGAGAATAGAACTTGCATCAACATCCATTCCACCTTTAGGATCATGTGTAGCCTTAACTTGTTCCACGATAATCGCCTCATCAGTATCCATGGTATGGCTTTGTGAAATCATTGCCATTGATAGAGATTGAACTTGGTTTGACATGTGTGATAGATATGAAGAAGAGAAATAGTTACTTGCTTGGATTGGTTTTGATTATGATGATAATCTCCAAATTGTTTTTACAAGATTGTGTTAATTTAGCTTATATAGTATATATGAGTTGAGGATATGAATCATATGATTATCTTGTAGAAGAGCTATCTAACTTCAATACCTAACTTCGAAACAAGGTAATCGAAAGAGTTAAATTGAAGAATTCTTTAAGTATCTTAATGCTTTGAAAAAGAAGAAAAGAAAAAGCTAAGGTTTCTACCAAGATGCTGCTGCCAGAAATAGTATCAAAGGGTGTGTACGTACTGAGTAAACCTGACCTCACTCCGCTGTGTAATAACATACAAATCACATAGAAAATATAAACTACAATCTTGTGTGGCAAATTGGACCGATTGAGTGGGTGTTAACAAGAATGGAAGTTATTACCTTAAGAATCATGTTTTTTCACCCACATAGCCACTCCTTTTGGACTTTAATTTCCCATCATTGATTTAGGGTTAAGGTACTAATTGAGAATCCTTGTATGATCTTCGTGCTTCCAATCCATGCAAAATATGGAATAATAAATACGAGGATGTCTTGCAAGTCACTTATCTTACATATTAACGGAAAATGTGTAGAAGAATCTATATATATCTTGATACTCTGCTTCATAACAAGGCACTAAAGAGAATTAATTAAATAAATATTTTTTTTAAAAAAAATACTTTTAAATCTTTAGAAACTATCTTACTTCATAAATTTAAAAAAAAAAAAAAAATATATATATATATATATATATATATATATATATATATATATATATATATAAGTATACAAACACATTGATTTTTGGTTCTCTCATTGCTTTGCGTGTAAAAGTCAAATTGGCTCTCTTGTTTGATTTAGGGAGTTTTGCTACCCTACGAACCATTCGCAGTAAATAAAACCCACTTTTATTTATTAAAATATATATATATATATATATATATATATATATATATATATATATATATATATATAAACACATCACGTATTCTTAATTCTTGATAACTACACTACAAATAAAAAGTTCAATAATGCATATTATAGCTGAAGTAGCTAGTCATTATTACCCTATCATGTGCTTAATTTTGATTCGGTAACATTAATTAATCCTTACTAATAAGTTCCATTCTCCAATTGTCACACCTTCACCTTGTTATGTAAAATATATACTAGGTGTTGAAAAATACAAGGAAAAATATCATCAACATTAATGATGGATTTAATTAACCCGGGGTGGACCCGAATCAATAAACCCGGATAAGAACGTAATATAAATAATATAAATAAACGAAACGAATAATATAGAACGATGTCGTAATTAAAGCATGTGCTCCATCTCAACTAAAAGCCTAAGCTGATAGTTGAATTGCACGTTAATGGCTATATGCTCACACGCCCCCTCACGTGTGCGGTGGGTTCCAAGCAACACGTGGACCAGTAAACTGTAGTCGCTTATGAGTGGCGCTGAGATTCGAACCCATGACCTTTGGTCTGGCTCTGATACCAAATTAAAGCATGTGCTCTATCTCAACTAAAAGCCTAAGCTGATAGTTGAATTGCACGTTAATGGCTATATGCTAAAGGTCGCTGGGGACCGTATATTATATTAATTGTCGTAGGATTTGGCTATTACAGAGATTCGGTAAGACAAAGTGTGTAACAATTATATAATGTAGATGGAATTGCCCCTTGTTAGGACAAGGAGGGGGATTTTATACAAGTTAAACCCCCCAACCGCCTCCCCCTAAATCGGGGGTGGTTAGATCTCAACTTTGACCGGGCTCGAGTGGACCGGGTCGGGTCGGGTCCCGAGCTCGAGTGATGCCGAGCTCGGGTAGGACCGAGTTCCCCACCCCAAGCCCCACGGAGGTCGGCTCAGGTTGGGGCACCTCCGTGGTGCCCCGGGTCCGCGTTGCTCTTGGGCACCTCCGTGGTGCCCCGGGTCCGTGTTGCTCTTGGGCTCTACCAAGGTGCTCCGGGTCCGTGTTGCTACCCCGGGTCGGGTCGTGGGTATAATATATCCATCATGAGTCCCCCACTCTCTTCGTTGCGAGTGGAAGTCAACGAATGAGAGTAAATATCCGGACCCGACCTCCATGTGCGAATGTAGCCGAGCACATCATGGCCAAGGTGCCTTGTGCCGAGGCGTCTTGAGTCGAGGTGTCTTGGGCCGAGGTGTCCTGAGTCGAGGTGCCTTGTGCCGAGGTGTCTTAGGCCTAGGTGAGAATCTTGGGCTGAGGTGAGACGTCTTGGGCTGCTCCACCTCCTTGCTCCGCTACCCTCGGGTTGGTTTGCTCCACACCCCGACCTTCCTCACGCACGTGGCCCGAGCTCAAAGTAGTCGACCTTGTTCTCCCTCGGTGATGTACTAGACTTGGATGCTATGACTATTGCCCTTTGCTTTGGGGATATGATGGTTGCCACCTTCTACCTGCTATCGCCTTTCTTTCAAATACTTGTGTGTGTGTGTGTGTGTTTTTTTTTTTTTTTTTTTTTTTTTTTTGTTGAGTCCCCCCGGCTAGCGCCGAGGTGGACCTCGGCACGTTGCCGAGGTGGTGCCATGGTGCACCTCGGCAACGTGCCGAGGTGCGACCAAGGTGCACCCCGGTGCTGTGCCGAGGTGCGTTGGCCCTTTTTTTTTTAAGACCATGTGTTAGCCTCTTTCACGTAGTCCTATGAGACTACGCCACCGGGCTCTCCCGTCGGGGTTGGTACGTGAGGTTAGACCTCGTGCCCCCTTAGGGTACGTCAGCCGCTCGAGCTAAGTCCTTCCGGACTGCGCCATCGGGCTCTTCCGTCGGGGTTGGTACGCGGCGGTAGAGCCCCAACACTGCGGGGGTTGGTGAGCTGGGACCTCAGATCTCCCCCCGACCTGGTGGTGCCGGCCGGTTGGATGCTGGGGGCGGGGGCCCCGTTGGGGTCGTTCCCGTTCGCGATAAGCTGGGTGTCGCGGGAACCATTGTGTGGCGAGAGTTGGATCTCAATCTTGCCATAGTAGCTAGTCGCGATAGACCACTGGATATAGAACACGCTTGAGCTGGTACAGCAGCTCTCAACAAGAGCACCAATGATGGATTTAATTAACCCGGGATGGACCCGAATCAATAAACCCGGATAAGAACGTAATATAAATAATATAAATAAACGAAACGAATAATATAGAACGATGTCGTAAAGGACGAATTTATCAACGGCTTCATCTTTGCTCTTAAGCAAATACACATAGCAGTATCGTGTGCTATTGTCGATAAATGTGATAAAATACTTATTACCACCTCTCGTTTGTATCGATCTAAAATCGCACAAATCACTATGGATTAATTCTAGTGGTTCAGTTTCCCTTTCAACGGATTTGAAAGGTACTTTAGTTAGTTTTGCCTCAACACAAATTTCACACTTGTTATTTGTGTCAATTTGGAAGTTAGGAATATGGTCCATGCTAATTAATCTACGCATAGAATTAAAATTAACATGACCTAGTCTACCATGCCATAAATTGGAAGACTCAAGCAAGTAAACAGAATTAACTTTGCTTTTATTGATAATAGGAATTATACTGAGCTTAAACAGCCCATCAGTTACATATCCTTTACCAACAAACATCCCTAACTTGGACAAAACTACTTTGTCTGACTCGAACACCATGCGAAAGCCATGCTTGTTCAACAGAGAGCCAGACACAAGATTCTTCCTCAGCTCAGGAACATACAGCACGTTGTTCAACGTCAGTTCCTTCCCGGAAGTCATCTTCAGAACCACCTTGCCCATGCCTTCCACAGCAGACTGAGCAGAGTTTCCCATCCACACCTTTTCACCCTCAACGGTCTCAAAGGTGTTGAACATCTCTCGGTTGCAACACAAGTGCCTGGTTGCACCGGTACCAATGAACCACTTACGAGGGTTTGAGCCCACGAGGTTCACCTCGGTCACCATAGCCGAAAGGCTAATCTCGACCTCCTTCTGACTGCTATCTCCAACAACATTGGCCTTAGAATTCTTGTTCTTCTTCCTTGGAGCCTTGCATTCAGATGCTCTGTGGCCATGCTTGCCACAATTGTAGCATTCACCAGGAAACTTGTTCTTGGTAACACCACCTTTCGGACCTAGCTTTCGCTTGTCCTTCTTGTTCCTCTTGGAGCTCTTACCGTGCTCCACAACGTTGGCCTTAGCGCCAACAACGATAGGAACTTTCCTATCATTCGTCCTGTTCCCTTCCTCAATCCTGAGTCGCTGGATCAGGTCCTCCAGATTCATCTCCTTTCGCTTATGTTTAAGGTAGTTCTTGAAGTCCTTCCAACCTGGAGGCAACAAATGGATCACAGATCCCACTTGGAAGGCTTCACTTAGCACCATGCCCTCGTCACGGATCCCGTCAAAGATTAATTGCAAATCTTCTACCTGACTTAGCACGGTCTTTGAATCAACCATTTTGAAGTCGAGGAATCGGCCAACCACAAATTTCTTTGAGCCGGCATCCTCACTTCGGTATTTATGATCCAAAGCTTCCCACAACGCTTTTGATGTGCTTATCTTTCGATATACATCGTATAGCGTGTCACACAATCCATTCAGGATGTAGTTTCGGCAAAGGAAGTCCGAATCCTTCCAATAGCCAACTGCCATCACGGATTATGCATCTTGTTCCTTCAACTCGGGAACCTTCTCGGACAAGAACCTCACCAAGCCGAGAGTTGCTAGGTAGAACAACATTTTCTGTTGCCACCTCTTGAAGTTCGAACCAACACCGGTGAACTTCTCCGGCTTTTCAGCCGAACCATTCGGTACCGTAGGTACCCGAGACATGGGAATATATCCCTCAGTGCTCCCACCATCCTGTGAACCAACGTTCACTGGTGTAGCTTGGGAATTAGCAACATTGTTGCCATTTCCTCCATTGTTGTTCTCAACAACATTTTCTTCCCCATTGTTAACGATTGGCAACTCCGGGTTCTCCATTTCTTCAAGGAAATTAGAGAAAAAGAACCAACGGAAAAAACAAGAAATAAGGTTTTAAGATTGTAGGAACCGTTGGTAGAAAACAAATAATAATCAAATAAAAATTGACTATTATTTTCTGGAAAGAAGGGAAGAAAAGATGAAGAAAGGTGGCTAGTGTTTGGTGTTTGGTTTTTGCAAGAGTCGAGTGAGCACTCTTTCCTTAAAACCTTATTTGCCACCTCCCGTAGATGCTAGGAGCGTTGTGGCCTAGGCTTCCCAGGATAAAACTTGCTAGTGATTCAATGTTTGAGCACTCAAACAAGGAATCCGGCGAGCAAGATAGGCTATGAACACAGTAGGCAAAGAAAGGGAGTAGAAGCAGAATTTTGAGGCTGGAAAACAATGTTTCGTGTACAGTGGTAGTGCTGTAGTGTGTAAAAATCTGCTTCTCACTACCTCTCTTATATAGGGGTGAAGGAGCCAATAACTTTTAATGAGGCACTTTAAGGCACCCCCCACTACACCTTGTAACAGCAACATTTACCATGTGTTTCAATTCAAAAATAAAGATTGGAATTAATTCCGTAACAGTAAGAATTGAACCCAACGGTCACAGAAAGCAGTACAGGTTCGTGTAGGCCGAAACTGGAATGGGTCCCAAGTCTAAAGATTGGAATTAATTCCGTAACAGTAAGAATTGAACCCAACGGTCACAGAAAGCAGTACAGGTTCGTGTAGGCCGAAACTGGAATGGGTCCCAAGTCTCGGCCTAAGTGGCCGAAACCTCGCCCTTGCGAGAGAGCCTCTATGCTGTACAATTCTATAAGCTTCAAAAGAGCTCTTGTATATAAGGGGGGGGGGGGGGGAAATCTTCATTCCAAAGCAATGTGGGACAAAAGCTCACTTTTTCCCTTCATTTTCCAACTCAAATGGGTCTACTTTGAGAATCAATATCTCATTCACCCATTATCCGTTTTGAGCGTACAATATATCAATCTCTTCGTCTCACTACGAAGAATCCGAATCCATTTTGACCCGACCCAAATCGGAAGTGAACCCCACTGATAATTGTACCACAAAATAGCCACTTAACATGCCATTTTAAGCTATTTTTTCCAACAATATACACTGCAGTTTCATTTCACCACAACTACAGTATCATTTTGATATAACTGTAGTTTCATTTGATAATATATAAAATAATACGTGAGGCAGTGTCGGTTTAGATACCTGTAGTGTTAGTTTAGATACACTGTAGTTTCAATTGATAATTAACACACCAAAAAATACGCGCTCTGTTAACATTGATCGTGATGCACGTGCATCGCGGTACACGATATAACGACTAGTAAATAACATGTCCCATTTTATAAAGCTTTTAAAAATTTATTGGTCCAAATTTACCACGATACCCTTTTGTTATACTTTTTTTTTTAATTGACTTTTATGTTAGTTTGAAGCACTTTGTGAGCATATGATTTATTTTAATATCAGTTTGTTGCAAATAAAAATTGCTAAAGTTGTTCAGTTGACCGTTGTTGAATAAACACTTCCGACATTGCGCGTGTTAAAGCGCCATTTAAATAGCCACAGTGTCTCAACCGTGAAAAACCTTCGGTTACAAACGCCATATGATTGGTCGAAAACGAAGAAACTGCGTGGCGCCAACCCTGTCCTTCTTTTAACCCAATTGCGGATACCGCGCGTCTCTTCCACTCTGCACCCGGAGATCCAGTCTCTGCTTAAAGAGTTAGGTTTAAACCCAAGCTTCCTGCTCTAAAATCATAAACAGATAGAGAGAGATTGACAAAATGAAGGTGGAGCTGGTGGTGGTGGTGGTGGTTGCTGCGGCGGCGCTGCTTACCGGAGAAGCTGTGTGGCTGGAATTGCCGAGTGCGGGGACCAAGTGTGTGTCGGAGGATATCCAAAGTAAGGTAGTGGTTTTAGCGGATTACTACGTAATCGGCAACGAGGAACACGCCACCGCTAATGTCGCCCCCACCATCTCCGTCAAGGTAAAACACCTTTTCATCGGATGTCTGGATTTTATCTGCTCTGTCAATAATTGGTAATAACTGCTATATATTTCAGTTTTCAACTGGAAACTGAAATCTGTAATCATATGGAATTAAACAAAAAATTTATGAAAAAAAAACGTATTATTTCCTTGTTTTTCACCTAAAATCAAAATGTTTGTCTTTGTATTAATTTAAAAAAAAAAAAAAAAAAAAAAAAAAAAAAAAAAAACCCTTATTTGGACTGCCTCCCCCATGACCCTCAATTTGTAACCCTGCTATTATTTGCCCAGTGTAATTAATTTCAAATTTAGGGATAATGATCACTGCTATTGAAGGAGGTTGGGGGATATGAATATATGAAGCAAAATAGTGGATGGAGGAATGCTTCTTTACTGATAGACTGAGGTTTTGGCTTATAGATTTTATAAGGTTGTCTGGTCCTATGTTGTTCAAATCTGACTACATATTAGTATATTACCTTGGTGACATTGTTGTCTGATCATAATTCATTTTCCTGTTGATTCGATTTTGGTAACAGTTCCTGATGTTGCATGACAACCTTAGCTTGTTCCTATAAAAGTCCATGATTTTCAATCTAAAAGTAAAGGTTTAGCTTTTAATACAAAGAATGTTGTGATTCTTTATGAGAGAGAGCCTTTGCAATCAAATCCCAACTATAATAACTGTTATAAGCAAATCGTAGTAGATTGGAGCGAGTATATTCGAGTATTGTAATTTGTTGATGCCACGAAGATACAAAGCTGTACAGAATACATAACAAAGTTCTTGATTTAGATATTCTCGATCGTAATCAATGATTTGAGCTGTGCTTTTGCAACATTGTCTATTAGGTGACATCGCCATATGGAAACAATCTCCACCATGAAGAGAACGCCACACACGGCCAGTTTGCCTTTACGACAGCTGAGGCTGGCGACTACTTGGCGTGCTTCTGGATGGCGACGCATCCCCCGGGGGGTAAGGGTGCAACTATAGGTCTTGACTGGAAAACGGGAATTGCTGCCAAGGATTGGGATTCAGTTGCAAAGAAAGAGAAAATACAAGTAAAAATTCATGTTCTTTTCCCACTTTACTTTTTTTTTTTTTTTAATGACAAGGGGAACCTGCAGCCACTTCCCGAGGGTGTGCACTGGGTAAACCCCGCCTTGTAACCTGGCAAAGGACCACAAGGCCATGAGGTAAACTAGCTTAAGTTGTCTATAGTTGATCAGCTCGATCAAATCGGAAAGGCCAATAGGCCGCTCCTGCTGGGAGTTGAACTTGAACTTGTCTACGTAAATTATCTCGTGTCCTGGGTCATGTGTGAGTTTTCCTTTGCAGGGTCTTGAACTTGAGTTGATGAAGCTCGAAGAAATGGTGCAAGCCATCCACGCAAATTTACTTTATATGAAAGCTAGGTAAGTTTTCGGGTGCAAGTATGTTAAAGAATGCCATTTCGTTCCAGATAGTGTGTAGGAATGACAACGGGCCAGGCAGAGGCAAGGCGCATATTCCCGTCTCTCGGGGTGGCAATTTCACCCAACCCCGATGGGGAACCCGATTCCCCGGGAAAGCAACTGATAAACTTTACCCTCTTTTGTGTGCAGGGAAGCAGAGATGAGGGAGGTGAGTGAGAAAACCAATGGGAGAGTGGCTCGGTTTAGTATATTTTCCCTTGGTGTCTGCATCTTTGTTTCACTTGTGCAAATATGGCATTTGAAGCGCTTTTTCCACAAGAAAAAACTCATCTAAACTTTCAGTTTTTACCTTTACAAATAGAGAACATCAAAGGTAGGCCCTTTTTGTACCATTACAAATATATATATGTATTTTCTCTAATAACATCTTTTGATTGGATTCGGGTGAGTGATAATAAATTTGTACTTTACTAAACAAAAACTGAGGTTGTCCATGATTCTCTTACCAACACCTTCTCGGTCCACAGTCTTTCTGGTGCAGTTTATCTCTTTTTTTTTTTTTTTCTACAATCACTACTCGAGAGCGTGCATCATAGGTATTTCGTTGGTTCATAAGAGTAAAAACAAAACTAGTCAATAATACCAAAAACAAAGAATAATCCGAGCTATGTTGAAAGAACACAGAATCTGTTATGAGAAGATCAGAGCAATTGATAATGATTTATTCAATTCTTCTCTGAGAATTATTATTACATTCATAGTTACATAACCCAGAACAGTACAAGATACCCACACACATATATGTAACCAATACCAGTGGCACAACCTTTTTCATGTCGAAGGATATGTGCCTTATTCAACAACTCAAGTACCAGAAATTAAAGACACACCATATAATCTCATTATTGATCAACAACGTAACTTGGCTACTTGCTGCCGTTAAGTGCCGCAGTTCTACGGCGCTTTCTCTCCTCCGACAGCAAACCGGCCAACCTGAAACCCATCAAATCCCAAATTCCATCATCAAAACATATATATGAATCATATATAGTACTATACTAATTAATATTATGTTTTGTGTAGTGAAGAAATTAAAGTTAATTGGTACCTTTTGAGAGCATCTTGGTTTGTTCCAGCTTTGGGAACCGGTTCATTCTTCGCTGTCAACAGATTCAGCTTCATAACCGGTTTCGACAACAACTTCTTGCCAACCTCTTCAAGTGCATCCAAGTTTTCCTTTGTCGTAACATCAACCTTAGATGTCGGCCCTTGTAAATCGTCCTCCTGCACCATTTTTACATTAACAAATTATATACCCACTTGCACATGTTAAACCATGCAACACTATAAAAGGTTGAATTCAATTATCTGGATACTAATTATATACAGACTTATGGGTTAAAGTAACACTAACAGGGCGTTTGGTTGAAGGGAATTTAAATTCCCTCCCCATTCCCATCTAATTCCAAAGATTACAAAATTCCCTTGTTTGGTTGAAAGGAATTACAATTTCTTAGAATTGCAATTCCCCCATTTTCATGGAATTAAAATCCCATGTCTCATGGGATTTTAGGAAGAAAAAAGGATAGTGATGAGTCAAAATTACCCTTTCATTTTTTAACCTAAAATTAATGCCTAACAACAACAATGGACATTTTTGACTTTATACTACTTATTCCCTTTCAATCCCCATGTATACCAAACATTGGAATTGAAATTCCCAATAATCCTATTTCTATAAATCAAATACTGAAATTTAAATTCTCACTTTATTCCCAGTAATTTATCTCCCATGAAATTCTAATTTCTTTTCCACATAATTCCCCTCTCCAACCAAACCCCTTGTAAAAGGTTGAATTCAATTACCTGAATATATACCAGTTATATATGGGTAAAACCAAAACTAAAAAGTTGAATATAATTCAATTACGTACTTAAACACTAGTTATATACTGAGTTATGAGTTTTTTTTTTAATGAATACTATTGACTCTATTATAATGCAGTATCAGTTCATAACTTATTAAATTAATATTAATAGGTTGAATAATTGAGTTAGTACCTGGATACGAAGATAGTTATGTCCGACTTTAAGAGCTTGAAAAAGGGTGGCCATATGGTAATCCACCATGTCCGCACTTGCACCGAAGATTACATCAATCAAAGGGTTGCCTTGTTCTTGGAGCAGCCACGCCAAAACACTCCATTTCGCCACCTGTTCCCCCGTGTACTTATCAGCATATTTTGCATTGCCGGTGCCGATCGACAATATCAAGAACCGGTGGACCCCAATTGGCTCATTCGACGAAGTTGATGATGTCAGGAAATTCTGGAAATTTGGATCCTGAGCCACCACACTTTGCGTCACCGTGCTAATCGCCACAAGAGTCTGTAGTTATATATATATATATATATATATATATATATATATATATATATATATATATATATATATATATATATATATATATACACACATTAAAACATAAAAAAATATATTAGAGTCGGTAGCATGGTTGCAGTAGGCGCTAGGCGATAGTTAGGGCGTCCGGACAGCGCCTAGCGCCTAGGCGGTCTAGGCGGCGCCTAAGCAGAATCTAGGCGGGCGCCAAAAAAACAGTGGTAGACTTGCATTTTGACAATTTTAATGAGGTTGTTTTCAACATTTAATCAAATAACACATCCAAATAAATAAATTAATGATAATTCATAAGTAAACAATGGTTTAAAAAAAAATATTAAAACAATATTAAAAATTAAAAATACTCAAATATGAAATACTCAAATACTTCAATCATCCAAAGATTCAAAGTATCAAACTAGTCTATGAGTGTATATATGTCATATTCTATATATGTATGCGCGTGTGCGCGCGCACACACACACCGAAATAAAAATAGGTCGAGCCGATCGGGTTAACTCACCGAAATGGACGAGTTAACTCGACTAACTTAGACGCTAGGCGGCCAAATCAGCCGAGTTAGGCCCTAGGCGGCCGCCTAGGGGGGAAATCGCCACGCTCTAGAGGCGCCTAGCGCCTAGGCGGGCACCTAGATCGATTTTTACAACCCTGGTCTGTAGTCTATTGATCCAGTAAGAGGATACATGGTTTTAGGATATTCTTAGGAGGTGATTGTTCCGTGTTGTTTTTTTTTAATTTTTTTATTTTTTTTTATTTTTTAATGGAAAGTATGTAATGTGTATTATATATATACATACCGGATTGTTTGCCGCTACACCTCCGTCAATGAGGCTGAACTGGACCCTTTCGCCTTTACCATTGGCCGTCTCAAAGTAATGGCAGGGGAGGTACGTCGGAGCTGCGGAGGTGGCAATGCATATGTCCGACAACTTAGCATTCTTTTCGGGGGAATCCTTAACCTGTATGTACGTGCATGTTAGAATCTTTATTATTCATGCATGCATGTAGAACATATATAACGTTTGGAGAAGTTAAGGATATATATATATATACATCGCAGGTGGCGAAAATTGTGGGTTCGAAGGTCTTGATATCAAAGGTAGGGATGACAACGTGAGTCAACGTTTGGCTCAACCGGGTGTCTCCCAGTTGGTCCTGGAGGATTTGGTGTAGGTATTTGCCGTCGTACTTGGGGCCTCCGATCAGGTTGTACACCTGAGATGCTTCTCTGTAAGAACATCCCAAATCATTAAACTCGTCGAAAAATATAATATAATATATTAACCAAGGAAGATCATATCACTATATATATATATATTTTGAATTATTATCAAATACAAACCCCTTAAAATACAAACTGTGTGCATATAAGTAGGTTAATGTATGCACAAGCTAATCCCAGATTGTTGATAGTGTACCCAGTGTGCATACAAGTATGTTAATGTGTGCACGAGCTCAAATTTATATTTTAAGAGAGTTTGTATTTGAATGCAACCCTATATATATATATATATATATATATATATATATATATATATGCCTAAGGAGGCGCTTACGCTGTTGGGAAGATCTTTGGTCCGTGTTCCTTGTAGAAAGGGACGATATCCTTGCCGGCGTAGAGGGGGCGCTTGTTCTTGTCCGGCGCCGTTAACATAGTGGTCATCAGCCCTCCGGTGCTGGTTCCGGCGATCACATCGAAGTAGTCCGCTACTCTTGCATCCGGACCGTCCAAAGCCTGATCGGTCACACACAAATATAACATTTATTAAATCAGGATAACCCCGGCCCAACCAAGCTGACCTGCCTATTGATTTACTAACTATAAAGTTACAAATTCGAGTCACACTGGAAGCAACTTATTAATTTTCTTGGTTTGAGTTGGTCAGCAAGTAACCTAGATTGATTTACCTACTAGTAGTCTTTTGTTGGAGGTTTACTTAATACAAACTCTGGGCTACAAACTTTCCTCTCATGATGTGTTAGTGTATTTCATTCATAATTCATTATGTATGTATAGATATTGCAAAAAGAGTGTATATATATCATACTTGAAGCTGGTCTTCAAGGTAAGCAACAATGGTGGCGGGGATGATGCCACGGATGCCACCTCCATCAATGCTAAGGATGGTGACAACGCCGTCGGGAGGGATGGACGGAGCATTGTACTCTGCGGTGGACGACGGGGTTGTCGGGCTGTTTCCCATTTCAAAGGATTGGTCTGATATATTAAAAAATAAAAAATGTTATCAAGAGAAAATGATTCTGTTGGTTTCTTTAATGTGAAGAGAAGAGCATAAGGAGAGGGTTTATATAGTACTATGATAAAACAGTTAATGCTTTTTTCCTCGCGAGGGACGCACGGGCTAACCGCTAACCATGTGCTAATCTCGTGCCACGAGGCCAATGCAAGCCATCTCGAGTTAACTTGGCTCGTCTCTTCAGGTCGATTTACTCTGGACCCGTCTCTGTTTTTCTGGGTTGACTATAATGATAGATAAAGCCTATAAAATAGTAATGAGCTCATTGTTTTCTATGTAGAAAGCAGTTTTAATTTTTTCCTTTTAACACTGTAAGAATGTGTTTAGTTCAAACATTGAAATCGCAATGATAATAATATATAATGTGTTTAAGTAGAATAAGTTATATTGTTTGATAGTAAATATGAATTTGGAACAAAATAAATAATTAAATAAAAATAAATAAATAAATATATATGTGTGTGTGTATTAAAATTTCATATTTAATGCATGAACAATGAGTTATTTATTATTTGTTCTGTAATTACTAAATAATTTTAATCCAATAGCAAGATAACAAAAATAGACAAATAAACATAATAATAGATATCAAAATTCATAATAGGGTACAAAAGTCCTCAACCGCGCACACCCCTAGAAAGAATATCTATTCCTTTTGAAAATCTCCTAAAACCAACTATTCATTAGTAGTAAACAAGTACAATTAAAGAGGTAAATCTTGGTAACTTAACATCCCACTAATTAAGTGGGAGATTGAACCAGGGTTGAGTGCCTACAAACTAGAGTTCACCACATTAAGTGAAATTCTCAAAGTTATGCCTGTCGAGACTTGATTCTATGTTCTTACTTACAATCTACTATCAAGAAATCAATTGAGTTAGTTACTATGTGTGATTAGCTTACCATTACTTACGTTAAGAGTAGAGTGTTAGATAGATGGTGGTTTATCAATTATCATGAGTGCAGTAAAAGAATACAAAATCACAGGAATCAAACATGCATGCATGCATGCAAACAGAGAAGACAAGCAGGTGCCAGGCAAAAGCCATGAAAGGTGTCAACAAAGAACTCTGATCTGCATGCAAAGACGACGAAGAAAAGATATATGACCGACGTGGACTACATGCATGCATGCATTTTGAATAGAAGACACCTAGCTCTAATCTAAACCATAGATATGTATGTTTTTTCATCTCTCAAAAGTCGAATCTCCAACTGCAAGGGCCCCCACACCCAACAGAGCATTTGGGAGGATATAAATCAGGGTGACTCAATGTCTCAGCATCGGCCCCACACTATCACTGTCGAAGTTCAAACCTTGGTCTCTTCTCCTAAATACTATCTATTGAACCAGTGAGTTAAGCTTGTACGGGGACATGTTATTCACGTTTTTTGAAAAGATTGTTGATGGTGAATAAGTTGATATACAAAATGGAATTTAATTTAGAAAATTAATTCCAACCAAAATTTTGGAACGAAAACAAAATAATAAAGGATTTAATTTATATAAAAAAAAAAATTAATCCCACCAAACTTGGTATGAAACTAAGAAATATTTATATAAAATATAAAAATAAATAGAAGAGGGTTTTCTAAATTGAGGCTATAAACCAACGAAAACAAGGAAAGACCCAAGTTGATCGTGTGTAATACACATGCACTTTCCTTAAAACTAATTCACTACCTCCCGAGGATGCTAGGTGCGTTGTAACGTCAGTCTCTCAGGATAAAATCGATTACAACCTTAAGTTTGAACACTCAAACAAAAGATCCAACGAACAAGAACAATAGGCTGAGCACTTAGTAGAAAACTCATATTTTTCCAACTTACCATTTGCGGCCCATGTGCCGTCAATTTCGCTAGATTAATCCTAAGTAAACATGATTTCATCCCTAGAGTTGAGTTGCACAATTAGCCCATCGGCCAAACCATATTCGTCATGCATGCACAATCCACACCTTCTATCATCCTGGACATTTTTCTTATTCATGTTTTCACTGTTGCCTTCAGTCGTGATATCAAGACAGACGACGAACCACTGCACCAAGTTTTGGGGGAATACAATTTATATCTTTGATTTATGAAAGAAAATTGTATCCTTTGCTTGAATATGTGTTTTCTAGGTGAAACTCGGTTGGTGACTTAATCCACTAGTCAAATCTAGAAAGTCAATTAATAGAGCCCAAAATAAATCATATTTGAAACATTTTCATTACTAAATAAATTTAGTTAAGGTTGTGTTTGTATCCTAAACCTTACCTTAACATGGAAGTTTTAAGGTGGAAATATTATTGTAGACATAGGAAATTTGAATACAACAAATGGACTGATAAATGACAATCGTTATGCCTTGGACCCGTGTCCAGCATGCTTGCTAGACACGGGTAAAAGTGCCGTTAGGCACTGTTATCTCCTTTTTTTTTTTTTTTTTTTTTTTTTAAATTTCAGATCACTTTGTTATAGAAGTATATGTTCATAATTTTATTACTATATGTTAATAACTATACATTCATAACTCCATAACTGTACGTTCATAACTCTATAACTGTACATTCATAACTCTATAACTGTACATTCATAACTCCATAATTGTACATTCATAATTTTCGAAGCTCTATGTTCACAATTTTAGAGCTCTATGTTCATAATTTTATCACTATATGTTCATAATTGTAAGTTCATAATGTTAGAGCTCTTTGTTCATAATTCGATCAATAACTGTACATTCATAATTCCATAACTGTAGATTCATAATCTCATAACTGTAGATTCATAACTCCATAACTGTAGATTCATAACTCTATAACTGTACATTCATAATCTTCGAAGCTCTATATTCACAATTTTAAAGCTCCATGGTCATAATTTTATCACTATATATGTTCATAATTGTAAGTTCATAATGTTAGAGCTCTGTGTTCATAATTTCATAATTGCATAACTGTACATTCATAACGGCATAACTGTACATTCATAACGGCATAACTGTACATTCATAATCAAAAAAAAATAATAATAACGCCGTTAACGGCAAAACACGCGCGAATTTTTTTTTTTTTTTAAACTAAATGACGCGTTTTTTTTTTTAAAACGACGTCGTTTTGGGCCCGTGTCCACAATTCAATGTGGACACGGGTCCAGAGCATAATTTGCCGATAAATGATCGGTGGACCGATGTTGAGGTTAAATGTTGGGCCAACTTAATTAATTGGATTATATAAATTAATTCAATTTAATTAGTCCAATTAGAATTTGATTTGGGCTATTGAATTAATTAATTAATTGGCCCAAGCCCATTTCATATTTGAATTTAAATTATAATTATAATTTAAATATAATATTAATTTTATTATATTTGAATTAGATAATTATAATTTAATTTGAATTTGAATTAGATTATACAATAATGAACCTAGACTTGATTTTGGGCAAGGTTCATTTTCTAGAATAATTAATTAATTAATTAATTAATTAATTAATTAATTAAATGGGGAGTTTGTTGAGGAATGTTGGTTAGGCTTCTAGTATAAATAGAGCCTTCGTTTTCATTCCAAAACACACTTGAAAGCTTGAAGAACTTGAAAGCTTGAAGAACTTGAAGACTTGAGGAATTGTGAGCATTTGAAGAGCTTGAAGGCATTGAAGAACGCTTGAAGATTTGAAGGCATTTTTTGTTGATTTTGCAGGCAATTTGAATCCATTGCAAGTACTTTGGAGTATTGTAGAATTGATTGTCTCGAAGATCTTGAAGTCTTTTGAAGGTATTTGAGGACCTTAAGGCAGCTTGAATCCATTGCATGTGTTTTGAAACTTTGCAGGGTTGATTATTTCTAAATTCTTGACGCTCGTTGTTGGAAGTCACGCCAATTGAATCCCGGAAGCTACGCCACTTAAATCCCGGAGGCTACGCTATTTGAATCCCGGAGGCACTTCCATAGATTACGTCAGTGAAGAATCAGAGGACTAGACAGAGATTTTGTACCTGCATATTAAATTATACATACACTGTATAAGGAATTTTGTGAAATATATACAAAGTTTACTTTTTTGTGTTTACAGATTTTGGCACGCCCAGTGGGACTACACTGCCTCTCATCTCTTCACTATTGATTCGCGAGCTCTACAAGGAAGGAATCCAAATGGCATCAAGAAATCCCTAATCCAAGATGACCTACGCTCAAGCTACCCGCTACAAAGCATCATCCGTGGCCGGTTCCGGTGATAGTCGCGAAATGAAAAGACCAATGACTCGGAGCCGAGTGAGGAACCTAGGGGTGGAACTAAACGAGACCCAGAACATGGTTCGCAACATCGTCCGAAGGATTGAAAGCAACTCCACCAAGTCATAGAAAGCTGCATATGACAAGGGTTCATCTTCAACGAGGGAAACTGTTGGCGACAAGAGTCAGATAGGCCCTACTGCCACAAAAGGAACTCCCAGCAGCAAGAGTATGACTCCCCAAAAAGGAACCCCTGGCAGTGGCAGCTCGTCTCCTACATCTCATTCATCACCTCTGCGAAAAACATCGTCGGAATTAACTCACACCTACACAATCATGCCCGCTATGACAACAAACGCAACTTCGGTGGAGGAACAACTAGCAAACATCACCAAAGCTCTCGAGGGGATAACTACATTCATGCATAACCAAGAAAGGAGAATCAATGAGCTCAGCGAAAAAGTTGAAAGCGGAAGAAACGACGAAACAATTCGAGCTTCCGAGAAGCAGCCTCAAACCCAAGAAGATGAGATTGATGTCGAGTCACCGCGTCATCAAAGTAGGCCAAGAATGGAAGAGACAATCTCTCGTCCACCACCCGCTGAGAAAAGCATTCCAATTTCTGAGGGCATGATACCTGTCGAGCAGTCGAACGATTACATCATGGGAGCAATTAAAGGGAAGCTCGAGGGAGGAAAATCTTCATACACTTACACTAAGCCATATACTCAGAGAATTGAAGAAATGAAGATGCTGTTGAGCTGCCAACCTCCCAAGTTCCAACAGTTTGATGGAAAAG